AGGGGTGCCAACAGACTTTAGATCTGGCCCCAAATCTGGAAGTTGAAGCATTATGTGCAGCTTTTAAGATGTGACCTTAGGCAGAGTGGCACCCCTTTTTTCTCGTTCTCACCTTCCTCTTGCCTGGAAAGGCAGGTGTGATGGCTGACACTTGTGCTGCTGTGCTGGAGAATAGTGGTGCACAGGATAGAAAGGGGCTAGGTCCCTGGCACGGGCAGGGCTGAGGCAGCCCTGGGCCACCCACCTGCATGCTTCTGAGAGAGGTTCAGGTTCCTGGAGGCCACAGGCCACAAGCCATGGAACAAATGAGCTGACCCAGCTTTCCTTCCAACAGGGCAAGGCCTCTCTATTTAGATCACTCCCCAGCCCACACTGGTCATTTCTGAAACATTTGCTGATGACTTACTTTCACAGGAGCCCTGGATGCAGGGACTATTTCTAGAACCCCAACCCTACTCCCTCTGACTTGGTCTAGCACTATTTGTATGATGTCCAGTCAGGCTACAGTACATTCGGGCCTGAAGGCCAGCCCTGGACCACCCACCCACACACTTCTGTGAAGAGAAACTTCTATCAAGCTAAGTCACTACTGTGTGAATTTGGGCAACCTCTTGGCCTCTCTGAGTTTAAGTTTTTCCTCTGCAAATGCAGATAAAGCCAAATGAGAAGATAGACATGAATACATGTTGGCAACTATAAGAGGTATGACACAGATAGAATGTTCGTGTCCCACCCCAAATTCATATGTTGAAATCCTAACCCGCAATGTGATGGATTAGGAGGTGAAGCCTTCAGGGAGGTAATTAAGTCATGATGGGATTGCGGCCTCCTAAGAACACCAGAAAGCTTGCTTCCTCTCTCTGCCTCTGCCACGTGAGGGCAACGCAAGGAGAGGGTGATCTGCAAACCAGGACGAGGGCTTTCCCTGGGACTCCACAAAGCTGGCACCCTGATCTCTGACTTCCCAGCACCCAGAACCATGAGAAATAAATTTCTGATGTCTTAGCAACCCAGTCTATGCAGCCTGAGCTGAGACAAGGTACCTATTAGTATTGTCTGGTGAATGACCAGTCCCATTAAACCAAGAGCTCCCCAAAGATCAATGACGATCTCCAAGCTCTAGATGTTGACTTCATTTCCAGCAGTTCTGGCTGAGAAACTGGGTCCCTCAGACTTTGCTGTAGGGAATGTGACCTGAAAGTTCTCTTTCAGAGCAAGGCTGTAGGGACTGGCTTGTCTGGAAGTGGCTGAGGACTTGTTCCCGCCCTCCACAGCTGTCGTCACATACTGCCAGCCCCACCTGAGGCCACCATGGCCCTTCGCCTCCCTGACTTCCTGCATCCACTGGTTCTGCTGGTTGCAGTCACATCTCCTCTCCAGGTGAAGGAGTTACAAGGCATTGGAAAGGCCCCCCAAGCAGCACCCTCTGCATGAATGCAGGCACAGGTCCAGCCCCAAGGGTGAGGGCCCAGGGAAGGCAGGAGAGAGGACGCTGGAGGGAGGCGTGGGGATGTGAGGGTGCAGTGCCAACGATGGGGACCAGGCAGAACCAGGCAACCAGAGATTAAAGCAGTCATGCGTGGTTTGTCCAGGCACTTTACAGTTTCTAAAGTGCTTTCCCACCTACTATATCTCCTTATTCTAAGTGAGGAGACAAAGGTTTGGAGAAGGCAGAGAGCTTGCCCAGCGTCACACAGCAGCCAGAGATACGGGCTCGGCCCATCTTCCTCAGAATTTGGAGACCATCCCAGACACTCAAACCCTCAGGGATAGACCTGGGAGCAACACTGATGGGGCCCTCACCTGCTGTTTCCCAGCTATAACCTGGTCCTTTAGGGAAGGGATTGGGCAGAGGTTGGGGGTGAGGGGGCCCTCATCCTGGGGCTCTGGCCTGGCTCCCCTCACACACATGGACAGTACATGCCCCTCCCAGAACCTGGGCCTCGTTGGGTGGAGGGGATGTATCTGGTGGTTTTGTCTACTCATTACTCACTCCCCTCTTCTGATACTAGCACCCCAGTATTACTTCGGGCAACCAGCCCTCTTCATGGGATACACTCTGAGTCCTCAGTCAAGGGTCCTACCCGCTTCCCCCTGCAGGGGGGTGATCATGTGAGAGCAGCCCAGCCAGTCAGCTATGTTCCTCTGGAATCCCACACAGAGGGACACACAGATGGCAAAGCTTAGCAGGCAGACAGCATCTGCGTCTGCCTCCATCTCTTTGCTGGGACACTTCCTAATGAATCACTTCCACACCAGTCCTGGATGCAGAGTCTATTTCTGGAAACCCCGACTGACCACTTGGACTTCCACAGACTGCTGTGATGTCTGGCTGGGCAGCAGCCCTGTTGGCCCTGAGGCAGGTGAGGTCCCCTTCTCCCACCAGCGAGAGATGACCACCACTTACTTTGATCCATTGCTGCCCTTTCTCTGCCCTGTTTCATGTTACCCCCTTGCACTCCAGCATTGTGGACCCGCTGCTGCTCCACAGGCACCCCAGCCCTTCCCATTGTA